GAGAGGGGAAAGCAGAGCTTAATTTCTCTCCCACATTTACTAATTGATTATTCTACTTCACTGCTGTGTGCAAAAGAAATGAAGGAACAAGCGTCTAGGAGTATTTATAGGAGTGTGCGGAAGAAGTGCTCTATTCTTCTTATCCCAGCAGCAGCCAGCCTCAGGGATTGATGGGAAAAGAAGAATGGGTAAAATTCAAATCTTTCAGTTTTGCTATTTGATTTTACTCTTAGGTAAGATGAGGCTTATGGGAATTTTAAAAAATGGATTTTACCTAACTAGGTTCTATCTGTTCACCATTGACAGTTCAGCAAAATCTCAAGGCTTTGGTATTTTCTCCCCTTTGTAGGTGCTGCAGGATCATCTTCTAAAAGAAACACCTGATACACTCAGTGACCCACAGTAAGTTGTATTGTTTCTATGTAACTCGTGGTAAGGATTTGTTTCATTCATAGGTAATCAAATAATTTCAATGTGAAATTTTTTAAAAAGAAGGAATTCTAGACCCTCTAGGTGCTGAGGATGAAAAAAAGAATAAAAAGAAGCAATTCTAAATGTAGAGATGAAAATGATGAATGTAATACAATATGTGAGGTGCTGTAGTAAGGGCTTTTACTTGTTAACTGTACTACTATTTAATTTGCATGAGAGCTATACATTTGGTTTTGTTAGAAAGAGATGTTTTTAGATTTTTTCTCACATTTACTTTTTTTTTTTTTTTTGAGACAGAGTCTCTTTCACCTCAGCTAGAGTGCAGTGGTGTCATCATAATTCACTGCAACCTCAAACTCCTGGGCTTAAGCGATCCTCCTACCTCAGTCTCCCAAGTAGCTGGGACTGCAGGCGCAACCCACCACAGCCAGCTAATTTCTTTATTTTTTTGTAGAGACAGGATCTTGCTGTCGCTCAGGCTGTTCTCGAGCTTCTGAGCCCAAGCTATCCTCCTGCCTTGACCTCCCAAAGTGCTAGGATTACAGGCGTGAACCACTGTGCCCAGCCCACATTTACTTTTTGACAGTCATAGCAGGAACTATTTTAAGGCTTGGTTGAACATAGTGGAAGAATTGTGAATAATTCTATTGAAAGAGTAGTAAATTGTTTTGTTTACTTTTAAAGAGTATGACTAAATATTTGTGTGTGTGTTTCTGTATTGAGGGGAGTAGGCACAGGGGAAGTAGATAGAAATAAAACAATTGTGGTAGATATTTAATGATAAAACATTTAAAATAGAAATGCCAAGTATGTAGTTTAGGTTATTCTCAATCCTTTTATGTATTTATTTTCTTTTCACATCAAGAACTGTTCCAGAGGAAGAAAGAGAAGCTAAATTCTACCGGGTTATAACTTGTTCCTTATTGGCATTGAAGAAATTGCTTTGCCTCTTACCTGATAATGAACTTGATTCTCTGGAGGAGAAATTTAGGTCTCTTTTATCACAGAATAAGTTTTGGAAGTATGGAAAGCACAGTGTACCTCAGGTAGGTTAAATCTTTTTTATTTTAAGTCATTTCTCTGATTCCTCCCCTATCTTGTCAGTGTATGTTTATGTTTTATGTTTATTGTTTTTACATTTGAAACTCTGCAAGCACATCTTTGTGGTGAGTTATCCATTTACTGAATTATCTCTTACTCGAGTGTTACTCTATTTTCACTTTTTTATTTAGTTTGGGCCTCAGGTTCAGACTTGAATTGTGATACTCCTTTGTTAATAGCACCTGAAAATTAGTATATGCAAGGCTCTTCTTATTTAATGTATTTCTTTTTTCTCTTTTGTCCCTGTCTCTCCATTCGCTACCTCCACTGGATAACCATTCTGATATGTTTTATGTATGTTTTTTTGTTTGTACTGTCGATTCTCATTATTCATAGCAGTTACGTTCTACAAAGTTATCAGGAACTGACTTAGTAAATACTGAGACATTGCTCCTAGTGGAACTACTATAACAGGGTTAGGTTCCTGTGAGCCTCTGGTCACAATATATTTGTCAGTCAATTAATACGTAATCTAGTTTTATGTGTATTTCTGTTTAAAGACACATTTAATATTTATTGTTGATTCATTGACATTGAACTCATGGCCAACAGCACTAAAACTCTTGCCTGGATGAAGCTTATCTAACACACATATTTTCTTTGTGAGGCACATCAAAGCCTTCTCGTGTTTAGACACAGTAGACAGCACGTCAGTGCGACTGCTGGGAGGCCATTTAAAACACAAAACCACTAACCAAAAGCATAAATATTTGAAAAAATACTGTGAAAAAGACACTTGTTAACAGTATGAGCGCTGAAATTAGAAAGTAGAGTTTTGCTTTGTACAGCCTCAGCTGGGAATGTGCACATTGAGGACTTAAATTTGTCACTGTTCTGTGCACGTCCATGAATCTCTGCAAAAGTTTTGATTTTGGGGTTACAAATTTTAGCGAGTAGGTGAATTCGCATAAATGGAATTTGTGAGTAATGAGGATTGACCGTGTTTTTGAAAAATGTGCTTTTGTGTGTGCATGAGTTTTTAATTCACATAAATGGTACTGTAGTATATTTTATTCTATTTATTACTTTTTTAGTTTTTTTAAAAGATCCATCATGTTCCTATGTGTATATCTGATCCATAGCTTCTAACTGTTGTATAGTATTCAGAAGCTCACTTTTGTCCATTCCTCCAGTGACAGGCATTCTGATTTCCTCCAACCCCCACCCTTACAAATAATGTAGCAATGAACATCATCATTCATGTGTCCTTGGATCTTCAAGAAATTCTCTAAATTGCTGAGTCACAGAGTTTGTGCATATCTGATTTCCTGAAATACTGTCAGATTGCTTACCTGCATGGCTGCATTACTCTAGACTCAACCATCAATGCATGATGAATCTTATATGCATGGTAAATCTTACACTGTATAGCTTTATATTTTAGCAATCACTAGCTGCTTAATTTTTCATTAGTCTAATAGGAATTCAGGTGATATCTCTTTTTAATTTGAAATACTTTCCTTACTAGTGATTTTTAGCATCTCTTCATAAGCTTTTAGTTTTTGTGTTTTCTTCTTGTTCATCTTTCCTCTTTTTTTGTATTAGAGCTATTCTCTTTTTCTTATTATGCAGGAGTTCCTAGTATATTCTAAATATTAGTCCTTTTGTCGTTTTTAGGCATTGCAAAAAAGTTCTCATTCCTCTCTCCCATGCATCCTCTGTTAAGAAAGAAATCTTAATTTTGATGTAATCAAAGTCATTGATTTTTGCCTTATGAAGGCCTTTCCCACTTTTAAGTCACAAAGATAGACATATTTTTTAATTTTCATAGTTACATCTCTGCATAGTTTTACCTTTTATATAAAGTCTTTAATCCATCAATCATCTACCTTTTTATGTGATCTTACGTAGAGATGTAGTTACATTTTTCTTCATAGATAGTGATCTAGTTTTCTTAACATTACCCTGTTGATCTGTGGTCCTGCCATTATGGTACATTAAATTCTCACATATTCACAAATTTGTCTCTAAACTGTATTCTGATGCATTGGTCTCTGTCTCTTCTTATGCCAGTACCACTGTCAGTATGACATTATGATATGTCCTAATAGCTGCTCGGGTAAGTCATTCTTTTCTAGTTGTCTTCTTCAACATTAAGTTGTTTTAGAACTTTATTCTTTCATATAAATTTCAGTAAGTTTATTGAATTTCTCAAAATCTAACTGAAATTTTAATTGGGGTTGCACTGAATTTATGGAATGATTTTGGGAGACTTGCTGTCTTTATGTTATTTAGTCTTCCTACTCAAGAATCTCTTTCAGTTTATTTGGTATCTAAAAATATCCTACAATAATTTTTTTTTTGTCTTTTTCACAGTTATTTTTAATTTACAAATTTTTTTATTTTAAATTATTGGTACATAATAGTTGTATATCTTTATAGGGTACATGTGATATTTTGATACAGTAATATAATGGAATTAATCTAATCAGGATAATTGGGATATCCATCACCACAAACATTTATCATTTCTTTGTGTTAGGAGCATTCCAGTTCTACTCATTAATTATTTTAAAGCATACCCTAACTTATTGTTGATTATAGTCACTTCATTGTGCAATCAAATATTGTTCATTCCTAGTTAACTATCTTAACTATATTTTTGTACCCATTAACCATCCCTACTTTATTTCCCCACTTCCCTCTACCCTTCTCAGACTTTAGTAACCATCATTCTACTCTCTATCTCCATGAGGTCAATTATTTTTAATATTTAGCTCCCACATATGAGTGAGAACCTGTGAAATTTGTCTTTCTGTATTTGTCTTATTTCACTTAATGTTCTCTAGTTCCATCCATGTTGTTGCAAATGGCAGGATATCATTACTTTTTATGGCTATATAATATTCCACTGTGTATGTGTACCATAATTTCTTTATCCATTCATCCATTTGACATTAGGTTGATTCCAAATCTTGGCTATTGTGAATAGTGCTGCAGTAAACATGAGAGTGCAGATATATTTTTTATATGCTGAATTCCTTTCTTTCGGATATATACCTAGCAGTGGAATTGCTGGATCATATGGTAGTTCTATTTTTAGTTTTTTGAGGAACCTCCATACTGTTCTCCATAGTGGTTGCACTAATTTACATTCCTACCAACAGTGTATGAGGGTTCCTCTATCTCCACATCTTTGCCAGCATTTGTTATTGCTGTCTTTTTGATAAAAGCCATTTTAACTGGGGTGAGATGATATCTCATTGCAGTTTTGATTTGCATTTCTCGACCAGTGATTTGGAGCATTTATTCATATACCTGTTGGACATTTGTATGTCTTTGAGAAATTTCTATTCAGATCCTTTGTCCATTTTTAAATTGTATTATTTGATTTTTTCCTATATTTTAGTTAGTGGGCAGTTTGCAAATATTTTCTCCCGTTCTGTGGGGTGTCTCTTCACTTTGTTGGTTGTTTCCTTTGCTGTGCAGAAACTTTTTAGCTTAATGTGATCCCATTTGTCCAATTTTGCTTTGGTTGCCTGTGCTTTGGGTATATTACTCAAGAAGTCCTTGCCCAGACCAATGTCCTGAAGCATTTCCCCAATGTTTTCTGTTAGTAGTTTTATAGTCTTAGATTTAAGTCTCTAATCCACTTTGATTTGATTTTTATACATGACAAGAGATGAAGGTCTGCTTTTATTCTTCTGCATATGGATATTCAATTTTCCCAGCACAATTTATTGAAGAGATTGTCCTTTCCCCACTGTATGTCCTTGGCATCTTTGCCGAAGATATGTTCACTATAGATGTATGGATTTATTTCTGATTCTCTATTCTGTTCCATTGGTCTATGTGTTTGTTTTCATGCCAATACCATGCTGTTTTGGTTACTATAATTTCCATTTTTTTGTGTCCTCTACAACTTCTTTCATGAATGTTTTATAGTTTTCATTATAGAGATTTTTCACTTCTTT